TGATTTTATAGGTCACATTCATGGTGAAACCTAAGTGTGGTATGTATCCCATTTTTAGAAATGTTAAGTTGGAAAACAAAGCAAAATTTGTACTAAAGCTGTAGCATTGTTTAACCATGTAATTTTGTGATATCATTCCTTCCAAACCTTTGTTCACATTATTTGTTAAATAAACCACATCAGCAAGTTTTTTTTAATGAGGATTAATAAAGCAAATATATGTAAAAAAGCAAACTGGATTTTAAAAATATGATATGGAATGGCTGGAAAGATGAAACAAAACTTGCTAGATTAAATTTAACAGAAAGAGGGGACTTCCCTGGTGGTCCAGTGGTTAAGACTCCACACTTCCACTGCAAGGGGCGCAAGTTCGATCCCTAGTTGGGGAACTGATATCCTGAATGGCATGCGGCGCAGCCAAAGGGAAAAAAACAATTTAACAGAAAGAGGTCTCAAGCTCCAAATTTAGGTAGACATTAGGTTTTCATTTGCCAGGTGAGAGAGAACTGAATCAACAGTATGATATGACTGAAAATAAAACGAAGAAACCTGGGCTTCCCTGGTGGCGCAGTGGTTGAGAGTCCGCCTGCCGATGCAGGGGACGCGGGTTCATGCCCCGGTCCGGGAAGATCCCACATGCCGCGGAGTGGCTGGTCCCGTGGGCCATGGCCGCTGAGCCTGCGCGTCTCGAGCCTGTGCTTCGCAACGGGAGAGGCCGCAGCAGTGAGAGGCCCGCGTACCGCAAAAAAAAAAAAACAAAAAACAAAACAAAAAAAAAACCGAAGAAACCTACTGCTACATATTAGTAGAGAATGCAGCTGGAGCAAGAGAGTTGAGCCTTATCATACCATGAGCTCTTCAGACATATCTTCGATATTGTGTAATTTATGGGCCCATACCAAAATAGAGAAACTCCAGAAGTAGGTAAATGGGCTCATAAGTGGCCTGAAAACCATGAAAATGAGGGATAGAGAGGAATAGGAATGACTAGCTTTGGGGGAAAAAAAGGTAGGAAGAGCAGGGGAGAATACTCAGTATTAGCCAAAGGGATGAAGATTCCAGTTCAACTTAGTTTAGGTTATTTGTGCTTATACATCTACCTCATTTTGCAAGTGAGGAAGGCATTATGTTAAGTGAAATAAGTCAGACAGGAAAAGACAAATACTTTATGATCTCACTTATATGTGGAATGTAAGGAAAACAAAACAAAAACACCAAACTCAAAGAAAAAGAGGCAGAGTGGGGGGCGGGAGGGATTGCAGGAAGATGGTTAAAAGCTATAAACTTCCAGTTATAAGATACATAAGTACTAGGGATGTGATGTACAACATGATGACTGTAGTTAACACTGCTGTAAGATATACAGGAAAGTTGTTAAAAGAGTAAATCCTGGGACTTCCCTGGTGGTGCAGTGGTTAAGAATCCGCCTGCCAATGCAGGGGACACAGGTTCGAGCCCTGGTCCGGGAAGATCCCACATGCCGCGGAGCAACTAAGCCCGTGCACCACAGCTACTGAGCCTGCACTCTAGAGCCCGTGAGCCACAACTACTGAGCCCATGTGCCACAACTACTGAAGCCCATGCGCCTAGGGCCCATGCTCCGCAACAAGAGAAGCCAGCGCAACAAGCAGCCCATGCACCACAACGAAGAGTAGCCCCCGCTCGCCGCAAGTAGAGAAAGCCTGCATGCAGCAACGAAGACCCAATGCAGCCAAAAATAAATAAATTTAAATTAAATAAATTTAAAAAACAAAGCAAAACAAAAAAGAGTAAATCCTGAGAGTGCTCATCACAAGAATTTTTTTCTCTTCTTTCCTTTTTATTGTATCCATATGAAATGATGGATGTTAACTAAACCTATTGTGGTAATCTTTTCACAATATATGTAAGTCAATCCATCATGCTGCTTACCTTAAATTTATACAGCAATATGCATCAATTATTTCTCAATAAAACTGGAGAGGAAAAAAAGATTCAGGTTTCCTAAGGAACCAGGATAAATCTTGATACTAGTTACAATTATCTACTCAGGCTGACTGATTGGCAAAGAAGTCATCATTCCATCCAAAGGAGAATCAGCAACCACCAGGGCACAAAAACAAACAAACAACAAACAAAGGAGGAAACTGAAGCCCAGAGAGTTTAATGGAGTTGCCTGAGGTCAGTAGGCTAACTAACAGACTTAGGACTTAAACTCAGGTTCATATACCAAGCTGCTGGAAGTTGGGTTTCTTTAAAGTGATTCTTATCCTTGGGACTTCCCTGGCGGTCCAGTGGTTAAGACTCCACCCTTCCAATGCAGGGGGCGAGGGTTCGAAAAGATCTGGGAACTAAGATCCCACATGCCGCACAGCGTGGCCGAAGGAAATAAAAAAGTGATTCTTATCCTTACAGCATTTTCTTTTTTTCTTTTGTTTTTTTTTTTTAAACCTCTAAGTGTATTAGCAAATGCATTTTCAGTATCTTGTAGATCCCAACCAGTCATGAGTTCTCTGTTCACCCCTGGAACCATTTGAGGAGATAATTCTCATCAGAGATGAACAGGAAAGTCTTGTATTAGGTTGGAGTTTAGACTTGAAAAACTCTTATATCACTTCATATACTATATTAGACTTGAAAAACTCTTATATCACTTCATATATCACTTCATATACATATACATATCAGAGATGAACAGGAAAGTCTTGTATTAGGTTGGAGTTTAGACTTCAAAAACTCTTATATCACTTCATATACTAGGATTGTAAAATTCTACGATAAGATATAATTACTTGAATTAATATATAACTACGTTATAACCATGCAGTATAGTTTTGGTCCTGGAGTCAGACTGTCTGGGTTCGAATTCCTGCTCTGCCACTTACCATTTTGAGAGGCCTTGGGCACATGATTTAACCTCTTTCACCTTCAGTATCCTCATTTGTAAGATGGAGATAATAATAGTTCATAAAGTTATTGTGAGAAATGAATGGGATTATATACAGCAAACAGCTAGCAAACAGAACTCAACAAATATTCGTTCTAGGTATACGCAGGGGAGTAAGATTATTAAAGGAGAGTGTATACAGTAAGAAGAAAAGAGGTCTGAGGGCAGGGCTGTGGAGAACATTTAGCTGTTGTGCTGGGTTGCACAGTATTCTCCCCATTTCTTGGCCACTGGGAACCTTAAAATATGATCTTTTTTGGAAATAGAGTCTTTGTAGATATAATCAAGTTAAAATGAGATCATAGTGGATTAGGATTGGGGCCCTAATCCAATGACTGGTTTTCTTTTCTTTTCTTTTTTGGCTGCATGGCCCAGAATGCGGAACTTCCCCAACCAGGGATTGAACCCACACCCCCTGCAGTGGAAGACGGAGTCTTAACCCGGAAGTCCTGGTTTTCTTATAAGAGGGAAATGTGGACACAGAGAGCTATGCAGAAAGAAAATGTTGTGAAAACGATGGGAAGAGAACGTCATATGAAAGCACAGAGACACAAGACCAGGTGACAACAGAGACAAGAGATTGGAGTGATGCATCCACAAACAAAGGAAGACCAAGGGTTGCCAGCAACCACAAGAAGCTAGAAAGAAGAAAGGAAGTATCCCCCTAGAGCCTTCACAGAGAGCATGACCTTGCTGACACCTTAATCTCAAACTTCTAGCCTCCACAACTATGAGGATATATTTCTATTGCTTTCAGCCACTCTGTTTGTGGTACTTGGTTATGGCATCCCTAGGAAACTAATATAGCTGGTGAGCAGTCAGGGAAAACACAGAATGGATAATAATACTTTATAGTTTCAAAATACAATGTCAATTGATCCTCACAACTACCTTGAAAAGTAGCAGGACAGTTTATATATAAGTAAATGGATGATCAAAAGTATTAGAGACTTGACAGAAGGTGGCAGAAACAGAATTTGAGAGATGAGTCCTGTTCCAACACTCTAATCCTAGTTAGCAAAATGCTTCATCCTTTCTCAACCTTTCTGAAGTTTCCTTCCCCATTCACAACTCCAACATCGTCCTCTTACCTCTGGCAACTCAATTTCAGGAAGGCCACTGATCAGTGAATTATACTAACGTCACATTTACCAAGCTTACGCATTGTATAGCTTTAACTCTTATTATAGAAGGACCTTATCCTTCGGTGGGGAGGTTCAGGCACGTACAGTAGGTAAGAAAGGCACACTGGGGAAAAACAGGTCATTCCCCTTTCTACAGTCATAGAGACAAGGCACCAACCTACGCCACTGACTCCAGTTTTCACGGGCAATTTCAGCAGAAAGAAAACAGACCTAACCTAACTTTTCTCAGGTTACACAGTTCCTCAGTTTTAGAGTAAACAGGAACCCGATTCAATGTTCCTTCCATTAAACCACCTTGATTGTTCCTCCACAGACAGATTTGTAGATGCTACTGCTTTCTTCTAGATTAAAATTAACTTTCAGCAGAATGACCCCCAAATAAAAATTTGTACGTGTTCTTTTCTAAGGCATCAGTAGTACAGGCTTTGAAATCAGAAAGTCTTGGGGTCCAATCCTGGCTTGGCGGTGGGGCACTGGGAACATTACTTCGGTTCAAACACGTTAAGGAGGTAACACCTACTTCCGATATTTCTTGCGAAGAATAAATGATAGGCAAAACACCTGGCACAGCAAATTTTGTCCCAAGACTGCAGGAATCAAAGCTTTTGCGGTTGTGACTTCTCTCAGCGTCCTCTGCAATGGAGAGGTTCAGCGATCTAAGCACAGAAGCTCTCGAAAGGACCCCAGCCCCTGCGCCATTTGGGGGCGTGTCCGGAGAGAAGGACCCAGGGGTTGGCTCCGCCCCAACTCGGGGCACCCGGCGCGCCTGATCGCCTCGGTCCTCTGCATCCCCCGCATCCAGATCAGCAGCTGCCTGCACCCGTACCTTCCTAGTCCCCGGGACGCGGGCTCCTGCGAGGGTTCAAAGCCCGACGCGGAGTGAGGCACAGCCAGGGACAGCCCGGGCCCCGTGCGCCGCGGCCACGCGAGGCCCCCGCCGTCGCCACCACCTGCGCGCCGTCGCCCCAGCCCCGCCCCCGAGAGCCGAGAGCTGTCGGCAGCCGAGGTCTGGCAGCGCTCGTCTCCTTACCGGCTTGTTTACTACCATGCCGCTGTACGAGGGCCTGGGGAGCGGCGGAGAGAAAACGGCGGTCGTGATAGACCTGGGAGAGTCTTTTACCAAGTGAGTGGTCGCGGCGCCAGCTGCCGTCGTCCCGAGGGGAGGGCGGGTAGCCGAGCCCCAGGCCCAGCCCGGGTCCTCGTCGCAGGCTCCAGAGGCGGCTTGTTCCGTCTCCACTTCTTCCCCCAGGACCCGCAAATGACGGCCCTTGTTACTTACACCGTGGGCGATGCAAATCCCGGGAATCCGGTGGAGCGGTCAAGTTCTGACTCCTGGAGAGGCCCAGGAGGCTTCGGGAAAGTTGCCTTCGTTGTTGCTCCGGTCGTCACCCCAAACTGAACGGACTCTTTGGGGTCATCTATGCAGGGGATGACAGCGATGACCTAGGCCCCGCTTATCTGGCTTTATCTGCTTAGGGAGGTGGCAACCGAACTGTAATGCTTGATGACGACCTCCGTTATTAAGCATTTATTGAAAAGGGATGCTATTGGTGTTGGAAATTCAAATATGTTTAAGACAGGGTTACTGCTTCCCAAGAGTAGGAAGTCGAATTAGGAAGGCTGAATGCATGAAAAATTGAAACCCTATAGATAATTCTCTAGAGAGTCTTCGTTGCTCCCACCCACCAACTCTTAGATTAGGAAATTTAGCATTTTAAAAGGCAACTTGTAAACACTAGAGTAGTGGTTTTCAGCTTTTTGGATGGCATAGATCCCTTTGACGACCGCAAGAAAGCCACAAATACACAAACCTTAAAATATTTGCACACAATTTCAGGGGTTGGTGGACCATCGCAGTGGTCCTTGGACTCCGGATTGAGAGCCCTTGTACTCTCAAGAAAAAGGAACGTGACAGCCAGAATTGCATCTTCTATCTGAAATGGAAACATTTGAAAAACTTTTGTATGTCTCTGAACAGTGCCTGACATGTAGTATGTGTTTAATAACTATTTGTTGAACAAGTGGTCAAAAGAGCCTATTTAAGAATTGGAGGGAATTCCCTGGCGCTCCAGTGGTTATGACTGGGCATTTTCACTGCCGAGGGCCAGGTTCAATCCCTGGTTGGGGAACTAAGATCCCACAAGACGCCCAGTGCTGCCAAAGAAAAAAAAAAAAAAAACAGGAAAATTGGACTTCAGGTGCTCCAGAATTGGATTAAACATAGTCCTTGGTTCATGTTATTCTCTTACTGTTCTAAGCAAGATGCTCCCATAATTATATATTTTTATTTATTTTTAAAGGTTTATTTAAATACCATAGTAAGTACCTTGAGGCTGACACCCAAAGATAATTATTTTAGGTATGCTGTGGAAATGAGAAATGGAACTACTATATAGGAGGACGGTTATTGACAAAGACAACAGGAGGGTGATAAGATGAGTTTGTGCATCCTGGGGAATTTGAGGAGCACTGGTACAAGTCAAGTAAACATGGGGATGTGACTAAAAGAAGATGGAGAGAGCTATTTGGGAATAGGAGGAGAGCAGTACTGAAAACCAGACAGGACAAGGAAAGATATTAAGACTAAACTTACATGGCAATCCTTTTTAACAACATTTTTAGCAAAGTTTCGTTTTACGTGAAACAGAAATGGAAATACTTAAATACTCTAGAAAGGAGAATAGTTTTTTAAAAGGGATGAAATATTTTATGCAATTTAAAAAATGATAGCAGTGAAGACTAACAATATGGGCAGAATCTTATTTTATGAATTCATGATGTGTGAACAGTGTGATTATAATTATGTCACATATAAAACTAGACCAAAGGAAATGCATCAATATGGAAGCTGATATTAGAATGATGGAATTATGAGTAACATGAATTATAGACATGAAGTCAGATAGTGGAGTCCAGATTCAGGACTGTAGAGATGTGTTACCTAAAATTCAAGTAAAATTAAAAACAGAAAAAAAAGTAAATGCGACCCTAAAATAATACGCTGGTTTATTTCACTGTCACTAATTTGAAACAATTTTATTTTTTACCTTTAATACATAATTATGAATAGATGGTATTAACTTTTCCTTAGTTTTTTTGTCCCTTTGAATACATCAGAGATGTTTCTAGTTGTTTTTGTGACCACTACTTTGAAAAAAAATACAGAAAAACTTGTTTCTGTGACAAATATATAAAAAGAATGTTATAATAATTTGAATTGTTTCAATTTTCTATTTATTTGTAGATGTGGATTTGCTGGAGAAACTGGTCCAAGATGCATAATTCCTAGTGTGATAAAAAAAGCTGGCATGCCTAAGGTATTTTTTTTATGACAAATTAGCAAAATAAATGCTGTACTGTAAAATATTTTTAAATGTGACTTTAAATAAGATTGAGTAGAACAGTGCTAAATGTATAGCTTAGACTGTATTCCAAGAAAACTTTTTTGATTCTTTATTTAGGTTTAATTTTGCATACCGTAAAATTCATCTATTTTAAGTGTGCGATTCAGTGATTTTTAGTAAATATATCAAGTTGTGCAGCCATCACCACAGCTCAGTTTTAGAACATTTTTGTCATTCCAGTAGCATCACTAATGCCTACTTATAGTTAATCCCCATTCCCACCCCGAGCCCACCACGGATGTTCTTTGTCTTATAGATTTGCTTTTTCTATTTAATGTATATAAATGAAATTATATAACATTAAGAGAAAGTTTTTGAGCTCAATAAAATAATTGCCTGAGCCTTGTAATGTAATTATAGAATCATTTTATTCTTACCCTGTTCAGAATATGAGCCAGGTCCTCATTTCTTTATCTGTAATTCAAAAGACCTGTGAAAAACACAGTTTTTAAAAGCAAGTCTTGCCAAAGTTAATTTTGTAGAGTAGGAATTGTAGAACAATAGAAAGAATAATTTTACATGCCATAAAATTTGCCTGTAAAATCAAATACAGATTTTTCTACCATAACTTAATATTTGCATTCCTGAAAAACCTCTTCTTGATAGCAAACAAAAACAGGTTTTGGGGAAAAGTAGGTTGGGGTAGATTATTTAAAACCCATGAAACTTTGTAATCCGAGCATTAGAAAAACAAAAATTAATACCTCAGGAAAAAATTGGAATAGCTTTGAGTTGCGATTGAGTGTGGCTGGAAACTCTCTTGGGGATATTTAAAATAAAATGAAATAATTGAAACTGTTGGTTGGTGGGTGCTGAGACAATGCAGATATAAAAATGAGCTCTGAACCTCTCTGGCTGTTGTTAAGGTGGGACCAGGAAGAAATGCAGCCCAATAAAGAGTCTTGAAGGGGTCCACTCTGTTACGGGAGCCCCTGGTACACGGGATCATTTAAACTTTTTAAAAATAGATCTGAAAGAATGCTGATTTGTGTGACCACTGAGTTGATGACTTTCTTTACCTTGATGAAGGTTATAACTCTGCTGTCATCATTTCAGCTCCTCTTGCCTAATATGAACTGTACAACCTTCACATCATATAGACATTATTCCCTTATTTAACAAATATGAGCATATTTGTTTTCATAAAAGCACATATTGGAGCAAGATACAGTAAATGGAGCCCTTGTGATGTGTTAGTGTTGACTTAGCACCCATGGTTTGGTAGGGTTTACTTTAGTGCTAATGGTGCATGTTTTCATTTTTGCCACACATATTTATGAGCTGTTTACTTTGTTCCTGGCACTGTATCAGTTGAAGGAGGATATATCATAAGCAAGCCAGAAGTAGTTCTTGCCCCATGGAGTTTGTAGTCTAATGGGAAGGTAGACATTTTACAAGTAATTAAGTGGGGTGATGCTACAAAAGAAAAAGTGTCAATGCTTTGGGAGTAAATAACAGGGACTGAACCAAGTCTGGAGTATTTGAGGAAGCCTTTGATGCTTTTTAATTGATGCTGCTTTTGATCGGTGATGCCAAAATAATGTCAGATGGAAGAAAAATGTGATGAGTACAGCTCTTTACTTACTGTGGACACAGATTTTTATTCCATAAACCAAAACATTTTGTCATCTTGGACATGCCAGTTCTTAAACATTTCTAATTTAAGTGATTAATCTATATTTGATGTTTGTATCTATTCTCAATACAAATTGTTTAGAAAATCCATTAGAAAAATAAATAAGCATGTTTTAGTTTGAGATTATTTTATTATTATAAATTAATAAATCATTTTAATTTTTTATAGCCTATCAAAGTTGTACAATATAATATCAATACAGAAGAATTATATTCCTACCTAAAGGAATTCATCCACATACTGTATTTCAGGTAAAATGCAATTGTGTTTCCCCCGCCCCCCAGCTTTTCCTAGTGCCCATCCTACTGATATTTGGTTGTATTATTTCTAATGCAAAAAAAAGGTTAATTTCCATTGCCATTTTAACTTTCTTATTGTCGATCTTTTCAAAAATATATTTGAAGACTAGGAAACTAGCAAGCATAAGGAAATATTGAAAATAAGTCAAATGTCTATTAATAAAGAGGATTGGATAATTTAATTATTGTACATCCATATAGTGAAACACTATATTGTCATTTAAAAAGTTCTGTATCTATATGTACTGATACAGAAAGATGTCTTAGATATTCTGATAATTGAAAACATGTTGCAGAACAACATCTATGGAATGAATATTTTTGTTAAAATATATGCGTATACATACACAATAATGAAAATCTATAAACTGCTGTAAGTGAAAGTTTCTGGGTAGTAGAGGTATATGGTATTTTTGTATTTTCCAAGTTATAACCTTCTATAATATTTGGAGTCTTGTGAGCATATACTACTTTTGTAGCTTAAAAAAAGAAAATATCTTTTTAATGGCTCAACTCAGTATTCATAATAGGCTATAGTTTTTGTTTTCTGAGATAAACGAGTTAATAGATGTAAATTTCCTGACACAGTACATGGCACGTAGTAAGAGTTCAAAAATGTTATCTTTCTGTGGCATATATATTGATATATACCATGGAATACTACTGAGCCATAAAAAACCCCCGAAATTTTGCCATTTGCAGCAACATGGATGGATTTGGAGGGCATTATGCTAAGTGAAACAAGTCAGACAGAGACAGACAAACACTATATGATATCACTTCTTTGTGGAATCTAAAAAATACTGCAAACTAGTGAATATAACAAAGAAGAAGCAGACTCACAGATATAGAGAGCAAACTAAGGGCTACCAGGGGCAACATAGGGGTGAGGGAGTGGGAGGCACAAACTACAGGGTGTACGATAGGCTCGGGGCTGTATTGTACAACACAGGGATAGAGCCAATATTTTGTAATAACTGTGAATGGAAAATAACCTTTCAAAGCTGAATAAAAAATTTTAAAGCATTTAAAAATTTTAAAAATGGAAACGTGATCTTTCACAGATAATAAAATGAAGATGTCTTTTTGTTGTAAAGCTTCTTAAGTGAAGGTGGTACGATTTCTCTAATCTTAACAAATTGCATTATGTACCAAAATAAATACAAACTTTTATTTACTTTTAAAACAAAACTATCACTTTTCAGGCATCTATTGGTGAATCCCAGAGACCGCAGAGTTGTGGTTATTGAGTCGGTATTATGTCCTTCCCACTTCAGAGAGACACTCACTCGTGTTCTTTTCAAGTATTTTGAGGTACCTGTTTTTTATGTTGTTTTTAGTAGGTACTCAAAGCTTAAACTAAAAGGTCCTCATTTTATTTCCTTCATTGGAAAGAGGAATTGGATGACAAAATAAACTGAATCCTTTACAAATTGACCGTTTATTTTCTTTCTTTGTGTGGTTACTTCATGCGTAATAAGCATTTCATCTAATACTTAGATAATTGAAGGTTTCTTTTTATTGCTGTTTCCCTTGTTTGTTTAGTTTAGTACAGGTTTTAAGTTTTGGGACTTCTTTCTGAAATTAAAAGTTATATTCTGTGCTGTGAAGTTGATGTTTTTCTTCCAGGTCTTTTCTAGTTTTCATTGTTTAGTTATGCTGACTGTTCTAAATTCTCCAATTCTTTCATTTTAGGCTTTAAATTCCCCTTAAATGGGGTATTCAAATAATGTCTCCCATAGAGTAAGTGGGGAGTGCCAGGAGTGACTCTTATATCTTGATATTAGTAATATTACTTGTAGCTTTCATTTTATAGGAGTCAAGATTATTTTAAAGACCAAAATTATGACTTAAATGATTACATTTCATAGTAGGCCAGAATCTTTATTATTTAACTTTTTAAAAAAATCTCTGCCTTAGGAATTTAGAGTTTTTCAGCAATTTAGAAGAATGTATAAAATGTGTATAGTATATAAGAAATTAAGCACATGTAAATGTAATTTTCATACATTCTACTGAACACAAAATATATCAAAAATCACAATGTATTTATGAGATAAGGGCAGTTAATATTTCTAAGTTATAATTTAGTAAGACAGGCACAGGGAAACAGGTTACAATACCCTCCTGTACTTACTGATGTCACTAATTCAGGAATTTGGTTTGCAATAGGGAGAACACAAAACACAGCAGGAAGTCACTTTAGCTCTTACTTGAATAAAATAGATGATTTTCTGTATTTTTACTTGAACTTAGCATTTTAGTTATATTTATGTTAGTATGCTTATCTGGTGTATAACCAGAATATCTGCTGTACTTAGATAAAGGAAATATAGCCATTATTTTGTTTGCCACTTGGTTGTTATGGACTTCCATATTTTGATTGAATATTTACCTGATATTTGGGATGTCACCAGATCTGGCAAATTTTCACTGAAAAATGTCACTTAGAGCTAAGGATTTTTGTAGTTCTTCAATTTAATTTTAACTGCTATATTATAATATTTTTAGAATATAGTTCATATTGTGAACTTTGTGAATGAGCACAATCAAGAATTCTTCTTCTCTATTTCTATTTTGATGATAAAGGCATCTCTTTATTTTTTAAATTTAGCATCTTCCTTTGAATGTATGTTTCTGGACCTCTTCTTATATCCTTTTCAGTTTTCCCTCCAAAAGAGAACTGAATTAATAAAAATGCTTCATAATTGTCATTTCAGAATGAAAAAACTTAGAGAACTTAAAGAGTGTTTCTATTTGTTACAGTGTATTTTGTTTATTGTGTAAATTCAAATAAATCAACTAATTCTTAATTTAGTGCCATAAAATGGTTGAGTAGGTATCATAATTATGAATTTTTTCAAATATATTTGAAATGTAAGGGAAACACCTTCAACTACTGACATTCATTCTGGTTTTGTTGTTGTTGTTTTGGATTTGTTGTTTTCTAGGTTCCATCTGTCTTGCTTGCTCCAAGTCATCTAATGGCTCTTCTTACACTTGGGATAAACTCTGCCATGGTCCTGGATTGTGGATATAGGGAAAGCCTGGTGTTACCTGTATCTTTTTTGTAAACCAGCTAATTTTGCAGTTTTTAGTCTACTTTAGAATAATTAGGCTTATTACAAATTGTTTTTATTGCATCAAGCTATTTTGGGTTATCGTGTACAAATATGACATATGTGGAAAAAATTCACAGGATTGTGAGACTTAAATTTACTTTTTTTAGAAATTGTCATTATGACTTGGTCCCAGTATAAACTCCAGAGATCAGACCTATTACGTTCAGTTTTTAAGAGGAATATCCGCTAATTAGGATGTGTCAAAGAAGATGGGTAGGATAGTTAAGTTCTAAGAAAAGATCATATGAAGAATAACTGGAAACAGAAATGAAAAAGTTAGGGACTTCCCTGGCAGTCCAGTGGTTGAGACTTTGCCTTCCAGACCAGAGGGTGCGGGTTCGATCCCTGGTTGGGGAGCTAAGATCTGACATGCCTCACGGCCAAAAAGCCAAAACATAAAACAGAAGCAATATTGTAACATATTCAATAAAGACTTTAAAAATGGTCCACGTCAAAACAAAAAAGAAAAAAAGGCAGATGTAGATTAGTGGTTACCAGGGGCTAGAGGGAGTGTAGAATAGGGGAATGAAAAATAAATAAATAAAAATAAAAAAATTTAAAAAAATAAATGAGAAAGTTAAATCAAAAGTTAAAACTTAAATGGCAACGTGAAATCTGCTTTCAAATAGCTGAAGGGCTCACTGTGGAAAAGTAAATAGATTTTTTTTTCAATCTATTTCCTGAGGCTATGATGGGGGCAGTATGGCAGCTAAGCTTCTTTCTAGTTGTATGATTTTGGTCAAGTAGCTTAATCTCTTTTGGGATTAGTCTCCTCATCTGTAAAATGGGAATTATAATAATTCCGCCTCATAGGGGCATTGTGTATCTTGAGTGAGATAATGTATGTAAAATATTTAGCATAAGACCTAGCACATAAATTGCACAGTAAGTGCTGTAGTTTTTATATCATTTGCCATTAGGAAGAACTCCCTAGTAATTTAAGCTGTTCCACAATGAAATTACTGACTATAAACTGGTCCATTCCCCATCATTAGAAGAATTTAAGTAGAGTATAGGTAAACATCTCTTAGAAATGTTACAGTAGACATTTGCTACATTTGAAAAGGAGTTTGAAGTACATAAATGCAAGACGCTTGCAATTTTGAGACCTATGTGTGTATTTATTAGAAGAAGTACTCATGGGAAGGAAATCAAGAATCATTAGCTCCTAAAGAACTAAATTAGGCAATAGCTTTTTTAAATATAAAGTATTTTGTGTGTTAGTCCCTGCAACAAAAGTATTATTCTCTTCATTATATGATTGAAAGTTGAGATGGTAGTTGACCCAAGTTAATATTAAGTGTATAGTCAAGATATAAACCCATGTTTGTCTCCACAGCCAGTGCTCTTAACAATATACTTCTTTCTTTTTCATAAATAATGTACTTATGAAACATCAGCAAAAACAATATATAAAATAAAGTAGCAAACCCACAGTACAGTATTGTCCACTGTCCTCTCAGCTCTGATAGAAATACAGTGTGAGACATATGTAATTTAAAATTTTTCTAAGAGCTACAAATTTTAAAAGTTCAGGGGCTTCCCTGATGGCACGGTGATTGAGAGTCCGCCTGCTGATGCAGGGGACACAGGTTTGTGCCCCGGTTCGGGAAGATCCCACATGCCGCGGAGCGGCTGGTCCCGTGAGCCATGGCCGCTGAGCCTGCGTGTCCGGAGCCTGTGCTCCGCAACGGGAGAGGCCATTAGTAGTGTATTTTATCTAGCCCAGTGTATTTAAAATACTATCATTTCAATATATAGTCAATATAATAAATTATAATGAGATATTTTACAGTTTTTTTTTTTATTACTAAGTTTTCTGTGTTTGCTGTGGAGGTTATTCTTACAGCACATCTCAATTCGGACCAGCCATATTTCAAGTGCTCAATAGCCACATGTGGTCAGTGGCTACATTGTTGGACACCCAAGCTCTAACGAATGAATTCTGTGTGTGTGTGTGTATATATGTGTGTATGTATATGTTTAACTGTTTTCTTTGGAGAAGGAAAAAGACTCTGATTTTTCTGTAACTCTTTTTAAAAAAAGGAATAAGAATTTGCCAGCCAAGCTGATTTAGAACAATAATGCAGAGGTGAAGAAAATACTGAGGGAAACACATTTTACCTCCTAAAATAGTAATACCCTTGACTACCTTATAGATATATGAAGGAATCCCAGTACTAAATTGTTGGGGAGCACTCCCCCTAGGAGGAAAAGCTCTTCACAAGTAAGTTTCTTGGCATTTAGCACATTTGCTTCACCTGTGCCAAAAAACATGCAAATTTTTTTTACAGTGATCAATAGAGGACTTGTAGTATGGACATTTAATGTTATTTATTCCATTCTTTACTAGCCTTGAGTATATTCATCTTTTAAGGGTAAAACCACTTTTATTTAAAGCATCATGATCTGTTATGAAGTAAAAGTATTAAATAAGGAAAGGATATCAGTTGCATTATTGTAATTCCAGTAACTTTTTTTTTTTTTTAATCTTCAGGGAGTTGGAAACTCAACTATTGGAACAATGTACTGTTGACACAGGTGCTGCTAAAGAACAGAGCCTTCCCTCTGTGATGGGTAAAATCATTATAAACTTTGAGTGGTTTACATTCCCTTTTCGTTCAACTCATTCCCCCCCCCATTGCATAGCTATTCTCTTTTTCTCACATCACTCTGGTGACATGGCTCCAATTATAAGGTCATCATTGAGCTGTTAATCACCAAATCCAGTATTTGAATTTTATTCATTCTTTCCAGAACTTTTGACATTATGGATTATCATATACTGTTTTTTAAAAAATTTTATTGAAGTATAGTTGAATTACAATGTTGTTAATTTCTGCTGCATAGCAAAGTGACTCAGTTATACATATATATAGTTTTTTCATATTCTTTTCCATTATGGTTTATCACAGAATATTGAATGTAGTGCCCTGTGCTATACAGTAGGACCTTGTCGTTTATCCATCCTATATATAATAGTTTGCATCTGGATTATCATATACTCTTTTTTTTTTTTTGATACGCGGGCCTCTCACTGTTGTGGCCTCTCCCGTTGCGGAGCGCAGACTCCGCAGCCATGGCTCACGGGCCCAGCCACTCCACGGCATGTGGGATCTTCCTGGACCGGGGCACGAACCCGTGTCCCCTGCATCAGCAGGCGGACTCTCAACCACTGCGCCACCAGGGAAGCCCTGTCATATACTCTTGTTATTATCTCTTCCCTTGGCTCTCAGGACTTTTCTTCCTTTATGGTTTTCTCTTATTTCTCCAAGTATTCCTTCTTAATTTCCTCTGCTCTTGCTTTCTCTGCTGATATTCTTCTAGCGGTTTATTTTTTGTTCCTTTTTTTCTTCCTACTGTCTTTTTAAAAGTGTTCTCGTGTTCCCGTAACTTCAGCTACATCAATATGCTGTTGGTTCTTAAGTGTATCACTGGGCCCAACCCTTCTTCTAAACTTCATATTCATAATTCCAATTGATTATTAGATATAAACTAGGCATCCCTCTCGGCACCTCAAACTTAAGACTTCCAGAAGTAAATACATTATCTCTTTCCCTAAATTCATTTTAACAAATCATGGTTAGATAAAGATAATATCTTACTGAGCTCCCATTTTAGATAACTGGGAGTTTATCAGTCGTTTCAATTCTCCCTCAGAAATCTCTTTTTCATCTCTTTTTTTTCTTTCCTCCACAACACAGAACATCTGAAAACAAAGACATCAACTAGGCCCTCATTGCTTCTTGCTTGGATTATTACAGGAGCCTGCTTTTTGGACCCATTTAGTCTATTTCACACTGTTAGCAGGAATAACTTTCACAAAATTAATCTGATTACATTTCTCTTTTGCTTGAGAATTTTTGCTGGCCTCCACAGGTTAAAATCCAAATTATCTGTTTGATATGCATGTTTCTTCACAATCCGACTTTATTCTACCTCTTAGCTTTAACTACTAAACTCAACCCTTTGCACCTTATTTCAGCTACAGTAAATTTCATACATCTTCCTGGCACCATTGTTCTTCGACAACCCTGTGCCTTCATTTATACTATTTCTTTACCTGGGATGTTTTTCTTTACCTATTTGGGTTTTTGATCCCTCTGCATGACTCAACTGAAAGATCATCTCGATTGTGAAACCTTCCTCATTTTCCCTAAGCAGAATAAATTGCTCCCTTCTCTGTTACACCCTCAGCAGTATTTATTATAGTACATATAACAGCCTCATTTACCTGATAACTGTTTCCCTCAATAGACTTTGAGAATCCGTGTCTTATTTATTTTTCAAGTGCCTGGGCACTGAATAAATGTTGGAAAGAGAAAGGTGGGTTGTTAGGACATTTATCCTTGCATATATTGTTTTCCTGTTCTTCTTTAGGTAGTTAAGGTAATAGCACATTCTTCATTCTGTAGATCAGATTATTATTTTTCTATTCCAGATAAACTTTGTTACCTTTTTAGTATATCATGATGACAGTTAGTTAATAAAAGATATCCAAAGGTAATAAGTTTAGTGTAGCATCCCAAGTTTGTTTTCTTTTTTTTTTTTGGTGGCCATGCCACGGCATGCAGGATCTTAGTTCTCAGACCAGGGATCAAACCCATGCCCCCGGCAATGGAAGCGCGGAGTCTTAACCACTAGACCGCCGGGGAAGTCTCCCAGATGTTTTTAATAAAGCTCTTCACTAAAACTATGACATTTCCTTAAAATTCTAAACTGTATGTTCTTGGACACCCCTTTCTTTAACCAACTGTCTTGGACTGTGATTCTAATCTTTCCCTCTCATATGCCCCCAAAATCTTGAGTCTGCAATCCTAATAATTGAGGAATTAAATCATATCACTGTTTGCTGAAGGATCCACTTAGGATCAGAAATGCAAATGTATTTTAAATATCTCTTGTCAAGGTCCTTAGCAAAGATTAGATATAAGTCTTACATATACTGGGATATCCTTAAGTGAACTTGGAATGAGCCTCTTTCATTTAGTATTTAGAACCTAGTTCAAAAAAGAATGAATATACTACCTTAAAACTTACAAAGACTAACTTAAGTACATTGATTTGAAAAGTGTACAGTTGATAAGTAAATTATATATAAAATATTGTACTTCTTATTCTCCTTAATTAGCTGAAATTTAAATATGATTTTTCAAAGCCAGAGCCAGTGAATGCCTCTTATTTCTACTCCTCATTTGCAAAGTTTAAATGGCTGTGATTATTCCCTAAGATTGAAAAGTCCCTTCCCAAAGCACCATCTACGCCCAGCTAAAATAAGCCCTTTATTTTGAAGCCTGCCTTCCATGTTGCCTAAAGAAAACTGTTTTTCATATTACCAAATGTCTCTGGCACATGTTGGAATTTATTTGAATATTCCTAGAGAGAGTTTAGCACATGTGAAAAGTTACGGTTTTTAGCACTTATTCTTAAATTTGCAGGTTCTTATAATCTAGTTACATTTCTCTTATCTATTCATAGCCAGGTTTAAATCATTTTGGAAATCTTTATCCCCCTGTGAGATAAATTTTAACATTTAACAATAGGAGTCTTCAAACTTTTTGATCACACACTGACGGCATAGTAAAAAAATTTTGAGCATGTACCTACAATACATATTTATGTCTATATTTATTTATAAACTATATGTGTATCATTATTACTGTATTACAAAACACAGAGGTAAGAATTTGGAAAGGACAATATAATAAAGGTAAAATAATAATTCTCAAGTCATACTTACTAATGGTAAATTTTTTTTGCTCCCTCTCAGAAAAGCAATGTGATTAAATATTGTTTATTATTTTTAAAAAGTTATGGCTTAACATTTTGAAAGTGTGGTTTTAATTTTATCTTAATTCTTAGTTTCAGTAGCTGTCATAATGTAAAGATGTAGCTAACAAGATACGTAGCTCCAGATGGAAGAAGTGCCTGATTACCCTTATTAAATCATGATTCCTTTTGTAGCTATAAATTTGTCTTCATTGATATAAATAATTTGTTCTTACAGATCAATCAGAATATTTTTACATACTTAACAATGAGTTAAAAATTCTGAGTTTAGAAGATTCTAAACTTAGAAAACTTTGTTTTTGAGTCTGACTTGGAAACCTAGATTTATTGGCAACAAAATCACATAACAGTGGTAACATATGCAAATACTATCTTCTAAAGTCATCCTGTATTATATAGGTTTCTCTGAATAGCTACTTTCTCACTCATTTTTTAAAATGTCACGTTTACCTTGAAAAAAATTAAAAGTCTGTGTGTGATCCTTTTTACAAATATGTATTAGGTTAGCATGTCACTGACAGTCATTTATTATCACAGAAAAGGTAAGCAAACTTGAAACTTCACTTTTTGTAAAAGAAAAGTAAATAGCTCATGTTTAAGCCCTACCATTTCTTCTAAGTACTTTAACACAGATAACCAGCAAATCTTTTTATGGTAGAAAATATTTTCTTGGTCAATTCCTATCTACTGCCAATTATTCTATGATATTTTTAAGGTCTTATTTTTATCAAATTTATGAGTATTAGTGACTTTCTTCAGCACCTTGTGCACATCTGGCTTCAACTTCCGTGCTTTGGCTTAGCTTCGAATGCTGAAGTTTCTTCCCTAAAAGCAAAGTTGATTTTTTTATTTGGCTTTTAAAAAATTATGGTACTTTAAAATTTTTTTTTAGGTTGCTGAAATGGAAAATGGAAATGTGAATGCAATTTTACAGACTGTTTCTGCTTATAAAGTTCTGTAGTTCTAAATAAAAATTTCTGTTTTAGGTTCAATTCCAGAAGGTATCTTGGAGGACATTAAAGGTAAACTAAGTTCCCATTTTTGTCCCCTTCATCATTAAGTATTCATTTGGAGGGCAAGTGTTTCTAAGTATTTACACAGATATAAAATATATTAAATTCATAATGTAATATCCTAAAAATATTTAACATTTAGGCTATAGAATAACGTAAATAAAATATTGGTTTTTCTTCAGATTTATGGAAGCTTTTGGTATTACTTTTTTTTTTTGGCCACACCATGTGGCTTGCAAGATCTTAGTTCCCTGACCAGGAATTGAACCCAGGCCTTCGGCAGTGAAAGTATGGAGTCCTAACCACTCGACCACCAGAGAATTCCCTTTTGGCATTACTTTTGATGTATTATTATTTTTATTTATTTATTTATTTATTTATTTTTTTTTTTTGCGGTACGCGGGCCTCTCACTGTTGTGGCCTCTCCCGTTGCGGAGCACACGCTCCGGACGCGCAGGCTCAGCGGCCATGGCTCACAGGCCCAGCTGCTTCGCGGCATGTGGGATCCTCCCAGACCGGGGCACGAACCCGTGTCCCCTGCATCGGCAGGCGGACTCTCAACCACTGTGCCACCAGGGAAGCCTGATGTATTATTGAAGAAACTTCTCAATGATAGAGTATAGAGAGTTACTAGGGAATTAGTAGTTTTCACAGTATGAATTAACAGTTACATTACTTATGAAAGCCACTGATTTTATGTTGTTTAGCATTTTTTTAAACTCTAGTATTTTAAAGGTCATTTTTATAAGGTCAGTCATTTTACTGACTTCAGAAATTCTACAGTTGGGTAAAGTATATTAGATTCACTTTAATAAGATATGTTACTTCTCCTTTGCTAGAGTGTATTTTTATGATAATATTTAAATTGAGTTTTCTGGTATTTTGATTCACTAAAAGGAAAAGCAGTTAAACTATAATGTAATGTTCTTCATTACTGAAAGTGTCATGTAAAATTAATACTCTAGAATATTTAATAGAGAATTAGACAATAATGGATTTTAGAGTTAAATGGGACCTGGAGATAATCTGGTACAATTGGGTCCCTGAAATATTAAGTGATTTGTTCAGTGTCACACAATAGGTAGGGTTAGACCTAGGGCTGCAAAATGGATCTTGTTCTTCATTATATTGCTTACTTATGTTGTATAATTACCTAAAATCTCTTCAGTTATTATAAAATTTCAGTCATTTGTACATGCTTATTGCAAAAGCTCAAGTAATACAGAAATATCTCAAGTGAAATAAATAGTTTCCCTTTTGTTCTTCCAGTCCTATCCCCCATGATGTAACAGTTGATAATTCCTTGGAATGTTTCTTTCCATATAGCTTCCATCTTGTGAAAAGATGTTCAACTTTCCCATTACCCAGGGAAACATCAGATTGGCAAAAATTTGAAAGATAGACATTTAGTATTCATGAGATTATGGGAAAATTAATATATTGCTATTAGTAAGAATTGAAAATTAAACTCTTTGGAAAGCATTCTGACAAATATATAAAAATTGAAAAGTGTGCATCCTATCTAAGAGGGTATGTTGAATGAAATTTGGTGACTTCATAATAAGGAATATCATATAGCTTTTATTTATTTGTTTTTTAAAATATTTATTTATTTAATTTTTGGCTGCGTCGGGTCTTAGTTGCGGCACACAGGATCTTTTGTTGCGGCGCGTGGGTTCTCTCTAGTTGTGGTGCACAGGCTTAGTTGCCCCTGCATTGCAAGGTGGATTCTTAACCACTGGACCACCAGGGAAGTCCCACCATATAGCTTTTTAAAAGGAGGAGCTAGATGTGTTGATTTGGAAGGATATCCATAATGTATTAAGGGAAAAAGCATGTTGCTGAATAATATGTACAGTAGGAACCCGTTTCTATTAAAAACAAATATGCAATACGTACACATACTCTTGCCCACTCATTTATATTAGTTACTTATGTAGTACCTACATTTTTTTCAATTATTTTAAAATCCTTAAGTGTAATTTATCTGTTCTTAGATTTTTAATTCAGTGAATTTGGTTTCCTTAAAGAAGAACACCTTCATATGCCAAGTATGTAAGATGTTGAAGTCTAAGTATTTACCTTGCTTAGTTATGAGGACTTAAAGTGTAAAATATGTAAGTAACTTGAGCACTTAGCACTGTCTAGCATATTAGCATATTGTAAACTCTTTTTTTTAAATTGAAGTATAGTAGATTTACAGTGTCTCAGGGTACAGCAAACTGATTCAGCTTTATATATTCTTTTCTTTTTTTTTTTTTTCTGGCTGTGCCATGCAATCTATGGGATCTTAGTTCCCCGACCAGGGATCAAACACATGCATTGGGAGCACAGAGTCTTAACCACTGGACTGCCAGGGAAGTCCCCAGTTATATATATTCTTTTTCAGAATCTTTTCCATTATAGGTTATTACAAGATTTTATTGAATGTAGTTTCCTGCGCTATACAGTTCTTGGCATATTGTAGATTCTTAACAAATATATTTTGAATTAGTAAATGAAAAGAATTTTGTATAATATATAAGTTTATGTAAGCATGTTTTGCAAGTCATTAACCAAATCATTAGATTTCTTGCTCTCAACATCAATTTTTAAAAATTAATTAATATATTTATTTGGGGCTTCCCTGGTGGCGCAGTGGTTGAGAGTCCACCTGCCGATGCAGGGGATGTGGGTTCGTGCCCCAGTCCGGGAAGATCCCACATGCCGCGGAGCGGCTGGGCCCGTGAGCCATGGCCGCTGAGCCTGCGTGTCCGGAGCCTGTGCTCCGCAATGGGAGAGGCTGCAGCAGTGAGAGGCCCGCGTACCGCAAAAAAAAAAAATATATATATATATATATATATTTATTTGGTCTTCATTGCTGCACATGGGCTGTCTCTATTTGCGGCGAGCAGGGGCTACTCTTCGTTGCAGTGCACTGGCTTCTCATTGCAGTGCCTTCTCTTGTTGTGGAGCACGGGCTCTAGGTACACGGGCTTCAGTAGTTGTGGCACGCGGACTCTAGAGTGCAGGCTCAGTAGTTGTGGTGCACGGGCTTAGTTGCTCCGTGGCATGTGGGATCTTCCCGGACCAGGGCTGGAACCCATGTCCCCTGCAATGGCAGGGAGATTCTTAACCACTGAGCCACCAGGGAAGTCCCTCAGCATCAATTTTGTCTCTACTTGAAAAATTTTTTTATTCCTTACCTATTTCTGAAAATAATTTGCACCCACTTATTATAAAAGGTACTTTGCAACAGAAATAATCTTTAAAAGAATAAATGTTCATAGTGAAAGAAAAGAAGATATAGTGTGCAAGAGGGAGAAAATTATCATGCCAGAAAACCCTAAACTAAGGAGTGTTACTGTAACTAAGACCAAAATTTAGCTTTGTGTTCTGACCAACCAACATTTTTAAAAAAGAATAGGATAGATAAGTAAGATTAGATATAAATCAATCTGGTTCAAAGAGATATGCTGTTCAATTAGAATGGCTACATTTTCATGATGGTAAAATTTATTTTTATTATGGTACTCTTTATACAAGGAATATCAAAGAACATAAGTTTCCTCAAATATGGTTTTGTTTTTTTTTAATGTGGCTTTGTGGAAGACGAACATGGAACATGTCTTATGATTCCTCAGTGAATGAAAAGTTTTTTATATGTGTATAAATTGTCATAAGCTAACTAAAGACGGAGATAGTTTATAAAATTGGAAGGAACAGATGATTAACATGTCCACTTGAATAGAATTGTTTTAACTGGGACATTGATTCAATCACAAACCATAACAACTAAAGACAGATAGTTTATAAAATCAGAAGGAACAGATGATTAACATGTCCACTTGAATAGAATTGTTTTAACTGGGACATTGACTCAATCACAAACCATAACAATGTCTCCTTTTCTTTTAAGTGCGCACTTGCTTTGTTAGTGATCTGAAGCGTGGACTAAAAATCCAAGCAGCAAAATTTAATATTGATGGGAATACTGAGGTAAGCTAAAAATAAATGTATATTCTTTTTTTCAGAGGTTGTAATTTGTATACTTATGCTTATGATACTTATATTTCAGCGTCCCTCACCACCTCCAAATGTTGACTACCCATTAGATGGAGAGAAGATTTTACATGTCCTTGGATCAATCAGGTTAGACCTTAGTTTTTATGAGCAAAATAATGAACTAAAATAAATTTTTGGCCTGAATATTTGTATAAGCCTTTAGTATTGTTGATTTAATAATTATGTGTTTTTCATTAAGCCTCATCATTCGTGTTTATTTTTATTATTCGACTTTTTAATGTTTTAAAACTTAAAAAAAAATTTTTTTCTGTTCTTCAAAGTAATTCAGAATCAACCATTCTTTGAGATGGAGAATAAAGTATGATACTTTAAAACAGGATTCATCAGACTTTTTCTGTAAAGGACCAAATGGTAAATACCTTAGGATTGGTGGGCCATATGGTCTCTGTTGCAGCTACTCAGCTGTACAGTTGGAGTGCAGAATCAGCCATAGGCAATGTGTAAATGAGTGAGCATGACTTGTGTTCCAATAAAACTTTATTTGCAAAAACAGACAGTGGGCTGGATTTGGCTTGGGGGCCATAGTTTGCTGACTCCTGCTTTAAAACATTGTCTTGTTAGAAAGAATGCATTCTTCCAAATATACTAAATCTTTAGGACCAGTTAGTAATTCACCTTTTTATTATTCATTATTCGGTCTGATGATGCAATATAAGTTGTCAAGGACTTACATGATTATATTGGTAACAATGTAATTTTTGTTTATACCCAAGCTATATAAAATTTGTATTATAAAAGTTTCATCTGTAAAATATTAGATCAGAAGATGCACAGAAAAGAATTATATAAATATAGAAGATCCTGTTAGATTTTGAGATAATTAACATAGAGGTTGAGATACTAGAAGGATGAACATAAATATACAGATGTTAAAGATAGTAGGTTGGGGAAACAAAAAAGTCAGAATGTAACACTTTTTGGTAGTAAGTTTTTATCATTTTACCTTTTAGTTAAGTTATATTCACTAATTTACTACGTAAAAATTTCTCCTGATTGTTTAGTGGAGCCCAGAATAAGAGAAGAAAATAAGTGTTTATTTTCTACCATAATATTTCATTGCTTAAGTGATAATTGTTAAATTATGTCATTTCAATATCAAATTAACTGACAAAGATTTGGAAAAAGAAAACTGATGCTTTGTGAGTATTTAGCTCAACTGGTAGAAGCACAAGTACGCAGGCATAGAGGCAAGTGACTAACTAACTATGAGTGAGTGAGTGTTCAGCATACTGTAGACCTCAGTATACTGTACTAACAAAATTGACAGGAAGTAGGTTGAATATCAGGAAGAGAATTTTATGTTTTGAAAAAGATTCAGAAATCTTTAAAGTAGTATGCATAGTATGGTCCCAGTTTTATTTTAAAAGATATTGTATGTATATGTATAGCTTTATATTGCATTGGTTCGGGTTCAGTTTGTTTACCAGTTATACAAACCGGAAAATAGTGGCTTCAACAAGATAGAATTTGTCTGTCATTTAAAAGAAGTTCAGAGGTAGATAGTCCAAGGATGGTATGATAACTGCTACCAGTGACCCAAGCTTCCTTCCACCTATCATCTTTGAGGTGTAGCCCTTGTCCTTGGGGTCCAGGGCAGTTGGTAAAGTTAGCTACTCCATCCGTGTTTCAAGCATGCAATCCTAGGAAGGAAAAGAGAAAAATGCTTCCTCTCCTTTTAAAGTGGACTTTCTAGCAGTCCCACATACTACTTTTGCCTCCATCTCATTGTCCGGTACTTAGCTATATCTAGCTGCAAGGGAGGCTGATAAATACAGTGTTTCAACTGGGGAGGGGCATTGTATCCAGCTTATAGGAGTTTTACCTTTTTTTATTTTCAAATAATTACAGATTCACAGGAAGTTGCTAAGATAATATAGAGAGGTCCCATGTACTCTTCACCCAGTTTCTCCCAATGGATACATCTTATGTAACTATAGTACAATATCAAAACCAGTAAATTGGCATTGGTGCAATGTGTATATATTGTTCTGTGTAATTGTATCACATGTAGATTTCCATAATCAGCACCACCACGATCAAGATATAGAACTATTCCATCACAACAAAGATCTTCCTTGTGCTACCAAAAATAACCCTAATAGTTCTATATCTTTTAATTTGAAAATGAACAGGCACATGAATATTTTATTAGGCAACTAGCCATCTTTGCCATGTATTGTTTTTAAAAACAAAGAAATACTTTGGGCTGGGTGGGGGAGGGTCTTGTTTGATTTTAAATCTGTTGTATCACTACTGATCTGCTTGTTGAATTCTACCAACTGTTACAGAATTTCGCTCCTTTTCTGTTATTAGGTTTAAGGTGGACAAAATATTTGTAAATCTATACATAATAATAATAGTTATACTTAGTACTTAGGGAGTACCTCCTATGTGCCAGGCACTGTTCTATTAACTCATTGAATCTCTATCACAACACCTGTGAGGCAAGTGCTATTATTTTTCTCATTTACAAATGCAAACACCTTGTGTTTTAACCATTACTCTACATTAATATAGTACTGGTACCTAAAAATATGTCAGTAGAACTAATGGTATGTACTATGTCATATTATGTGATGCCAACAAAACACTGTTTTTAATCTCATTAGAGATTCGGTTGTGGAAATCCTTTTTGAGCAAGATAATGAAGAGAAATCAGTTGCCACTTTAATATTGGATTCCCTTATGCAGGTACTTTTATTTTGTAAAAGGTTTCAATTTATGAATACAGCCCTTTACAGAGAAATTTTAAAAATCATATTGTCTGTATTTTTAATTTTAGCCATTAGTTACATTTTTTAGCTTTTATGTGAAGTTTTATAGTTAATGAGTTTTACTTTGGCACTTATATATGGTACCCACAACATTTCAAATCCGGGATAATACGTTCCATAGACACATCATGCATTTTTTCCATGACAACGATAACAGATTTTTATTTTGTACCTAGTATGGCTTGTAGTTTCTTCAAATGTAGGTTTGTGTAGTATTAAGTTTTTCATTCCACAAGGTATATGTCTCTTTTGTTTAATGACTGTGGGACCATAGAACTCCTATAAAATACTATCACTTTGGGAGATATTGTCTACCTCTATGGCTCTACTTGAGGACTTTATGAAAAACATAACGTCATTTAAGGACTGTAACATTCCTGATGCTTAGAGAGAACTGATGTGGAAACAATTTTTCTAAGAATGTTATCTTCCCACTCGATAACAGGCTCTGGATATAGTGGATATAGTACCTTAGAAAAATCAGGTTTCCACATGTTTTCCTTACTAAAAAAGAAATGGAAAGTTATTTCTTCTCATGTTCTTTGCATAGCTCAGTCATTCTACCCTGAAAATGAGAATACTCCCATATTACTACTATATTCCCTGTGGAATTTAAAAGTCTACACTATTAGCTTTTTAAATCTTTAAGGATTTATATAAGTACATGATAATATTATCATGGGGTATATTTGCCACTTGAAAAACTCTTGTTAAAGAAACCTTGCTGTAGCCCTTTTTGAGGGATGGGATGAACTAGGAGATTGGGATTGACATATATACACTAATATTATAAAATAGATAACTAATAAGAACCTGCTGTATAGCACAGGGAACTCCACTTAGCTGTACAGCAGAAACTAACACAACATTGTACAACAATTATACCCCAATTAAAAAAACAAAAAGATAAAAGGGCTTCCCTGGTGGCGCAGTGGTTAAGAATCCTCCTGCCAGTGCAGGGCACACGGGTTCAAGCCCTGGTCCGGGAAGATCCCACATGCCGTGGAGCAACGAAGCCCATGCGTCACAACTACTGAGCCTGTGTGCCACAACTACTGAAGCCCATGCGCCTAGAGCCCGTGCTCCACAGCAAGAGAAGCCACTGCAATGAGAAGACCACACACTGCAATGAAGAGTAGCCCCCGCTCGCCACAACTAGAGAAAGCTCGCACACAGCAGCGAGGACCCAATGCAGCCAAAGACAGATAGATAGGTAGATAAATAGATTAATTAATTAAAGAAAAGAAACCTTGCGGTGGCCCTTTTTTGTAATACAAACGATCACCTAATAATCTGTATATTTTCTTAAATTCAATCAAGCATTATTTATAGTTAATTCTTTTTTCTTTCTCTTTAATAACAGTGCCCAATAGACACTAGGAAGCAACTAGCAGAGAACTTGGTAGTCATAGGTGGCACGTCTATGTTGCCAGGATTCCTCCACAGACTACTTGCAGAAATAAGGTATTTGGTAGAAAAACCAAAATATAAAAAAATACTTGGCACCAAGACATTCCGAATTCATACTCCACCTGCAAAGGCTAATTGTGTAGCCTGGTTGGGAGGTAAGAACTGGTTTTTTTTCTTTTTTGTTTTTGTCTTTGTTTTTGTTTTGTCCATACCACATGTCTTGCGGGATCTTAGTTCCCCGACCAGGGATTGAATCCGGGCACCCCAGCAGTGGAAGTGTGGAGTCCTAACCACTGGACTGCCAGGGAATTCCCAAGAATTTCACTTCTAAAAATAATGATTATATAGTAATTGGTTCCTGAATGACATTACTAATGGTTATATTAGAACAGATGATTCATTGTTCGAAATTGTGTACTTAGTAAACTAATAGAACTATTAAATAATTTTCTTTGAACATTTACTTTTCTTTAAATTATTAGTTTTCAGAATTATATACTTATTTCTCTTATCATTTGCACTTCTATTTTTTTTCAGTGAACTCTGTCCAATTAAAGTCATCCCACATAATGATAGTGATAGCTATGCATTTATTTTAATTATGCTACCATTGCTTAAAACCCTTGTTTTAATTCCTTACAAAGCTAATTTGTGAGCCATATATGAAAACTGATCTCTTTATTTTATAATTACACTATATTTTGTGACTGAGTTTATTGAATGTTTTAGGAAATGATAGTTTTATTAGTTTTATTGAAATACGGAAATAGCCTAATAAAGAGACTACTTTGAAGAGAGAACAATCATAGATGTGTATATTTGTGTAAGTTCTGATATGTGTCTTATGATGCAGTTACAGCTCATAGGTATCAGGATCATTTAGAGAGAAAAAACAAGTCTTGAGATTTAAATTGATACGTATTATATTTCTTATAAAGTAGAATTTGGTCAAAACGTAATTTTGATCTAGGAAGAATGGATTTGGTCACTAAGTTATTTTTTTGAAACTGCCTTGTGGGTCTTTATAAGGTCTTCAGCATAGACTCTTAGGATACTATGGTTGGCTTATTGAGTTTTGCACTGCTGTTTTTTTACTGACATATAATCTTAAGAGTGTGGCAAAGAAAACTAAGATTATTATTTCTTGTGTTTACACAGAGTTGAAAATACTCTCCACCTTACTCTACCTCACTCTACCTGCATTTAAACACAGTAATACTTATCATTTTCACTATAATCTAGTTTAGAACATTTAAGTTAGTTTCAACACAGGAGTTATGGCTTAGCCTGTTTTTCAAAATATAGGATATAGAACAACTTAACCGGAATTAATTTGAAGACTGTGAATATGCATTACTGAATTTTACCTATTCTCTCTTGTCTTATAATGAAGTGGACGTATGTGTACATAAAATTTTCCAGTAAAAGTTTTCATATCAGCTATAAAAATATGTTTACCACACAGGAGCTATTTTTGGAGCACTGCAAGACATACTTGGGAGCCGTTCAGTCTCAAAGGAATATTATAACCAGACAGGCCGTATACCTGATTGGTGTTCTCTTAATAACCCACCTTTGGAAATGATGTTTGATGTCGGGAAGGCTCAACCACCTCTGATGAAGAGAGCATTTTCCACTGAGAAATGAAAGTTTGATTAAAATTCAGCTTTGCTTCTTTTCAAATATCAATTACAAGCAAACTGTACAAAGTATATAGGGTGGTGTTAGAGATGACTTTAGTAGAAGTGCAAGCGTTTCTGTAATTATACTTCACATTAGTATTTAATCATTTTGCCTTTGGTGTAATGGTAGAATGGTAGCTGATGCTTATTGAAATTAGTTGTATTTATATCAATAAAATATAGTAAAGCAGTTAATTTTGGAAGTTTGTTGCATAGTTCATTTTTCAAAAAGAACAAAAACATTGTCCCTCCACAATTCACATAATCTGTCCTGGGCATTGGAGACTTCATTAATTTCATTGTGTTCAACAATTATTTTATTTAAAGAATAATGTTACCTTTTCCAGTTATTTCAAGTATTAACATGGGTCTGTGTCTTAAAATCCTTTTGTTTTGATGTTTGTGTCCATGTTATAATTATGCTACTTTTGGGCTGAGAATGTTGGGTAGCATAGTTAAGCATTTGGTAAGGAAAATGGGGAAATGTTCACTTTTTAACTTTACAGTTTATTTTATGAATTGCTAAGAAAAAAGATATTTCATTTTTATGCGGAGATACTCATTTTATGCATTTTTATGAAACTGCTTTATAAACATGTATTCATAATGTCTTTAATCTTTTGTGCTTTTTATCTTCTAAGGCAGGGGTTCTTTGAAATATGTACTCAGTCATTATTTAATTTTTATTTTTGTTTGTTTTTCTTCCTTTGTTTTTAATGAACTGCCTCTTACGAGAATTTTGCTGGTTTCATTCTTTCTAAATACCTATGAAGATGGGAAATATATGCGTATGTATGCTCGTAGTCCTGAAGACCGATTATGAATTTATACATTTTCTAGACTATATATCCCAAGTCCATTTTTACTCATAGTTCAATCATTTTGATTGTCCTTTTTCTGGATCCTTCCTACTTTTGCTATATGATTTATGTATGAAGATACCAACACCAAGTCACACTTGAAAGAGCTGGTTCCTGGCATTAAGAACAGGAAAGGATTGGGGCTTCCCTGGCGGCGCAGTGGTTGAGAATCCGCCTGCCAATGCAGGGGACACGGGTTCGAGCCCTGGTCTGGGAAGATCCGACATGCTGCAGAACAACTAAGCCTGTGCGCCACAACTACTGAGCCTGCGCTCTAGAACCCGTGAGCCACAACTACTGAAGCCTGCGTGCCTAGAGCCTGTGCTTCGCAACAAGAGAAGCCACCGCAGTGAGAAGCCCAGGCACCGCAACGAAGAGTAGCCCCTGCTCGCCACAACTAGAGAGAGCCTGCGCGCAGCAACGAAGACCCAACACAGCCAAAAATAAAATAAATATATTAAAAAAAAAAGAATAGGAAAGGATTCATTTGTGTGTGTGTGTGCATGTGTGTATGTGTGTGTGTATTACTTTAAAAAATACTACTAGCTCTACTTTGTCACCATGTAATCCTACTTTAGTAGCCCCAAACTAAGATTCATTCAGTATTTATTGACTCTCTACTGCGTACCTAGTATAGTTTTAGATTCTATAACTGCTGCAACAGGAAGACATGGACCTTTGCCCTTAGAGGGGTTGCAGGTTAGCAGAAGTGGATGTGTACACAGGTGATGATAAACAGTGTGGTGTGTGCCATAAAGGGATCAATTGCTTATTGCTGATGTAGTTATTTCTAACCAGGGAGCCAAGGAAGCCTTCATAGAGGAGGCTTTTGACCTTGTTCCTGAAGGATGAGGAGAATTTCAATAACTGGGGGTTACTCCAGGCTATGTGAACTGAATTCTCGACACAAAATAAAGCATTGAGATGAAGCATTGCAAATTATAATTTAGGATTAAATCACAAAGAACTTGAAAGCCATATTAAACCAGTGAATAAAACTATGAAAATTCAGTTTTACCATCCAGTTTCCCAATATATTCATTCCTAAAGTGAGACCCCTCTGCCCTCTGGGACTTACTGCTTTCCACAGCACCCTTTCCCCCAAGGTAGTGATCTCTCTCATAAGCACATTATCTGTAACTGAGGCACTTACAATTTCACCTTGTATTTGTTTCTATACAGGTTTTATCTTCCTTTCTGGAATATAAGTTCCATAAGAACAAAGCTCCATTTCTTAACTTTGAAACCCACCAGTGGGATGGCCAGGAATAGGTGTACTCATTGTCAGTCTTAAGGATTCAGTATTTTACTAACATTATCTCTTGTAGTAAACATAAAATTGTCTTTTGTAGAATTTGGATTATTTATTAGAAGATTTTCATTATTGAATAATACAAAATATAAGCTGAAATATAGCTTTATAGAAAGCTATAAAGCGGCAGACACCCAGTGGCTGAGGTTAAGGAATGGAGCCCTCTTTTAAGGGTTGAGTTGTATGCCCCAGAGAGAGATGTTGAAGTCCGAACTCCTAACACCTATGAATGTGGCCTTACTTGGAAGTAAAGTCTTTGCAGATGTAATCAAATTAAGATGGGGTTATTAGGGTGAGTCCTAATCAGGCACTGTGACTGGTGTCCTCATACAAAAAGGAAAATGCCATGTGAGACAGAAACACAAGGAGAAAGGATGTAACAGCAGAGGCAGAGATTGGAGTTAGGCACCTGCAAACCAAGGAACACCAAGGGTAGCTGATGACAGCAGAAAGCTAACAGAAAGAAGCAAAGAACAGATTCTTCAAGACAGCCTTTGAGAGCATGACTCTGCCTACACCTTGATTTCAAGCTTCTAGCCTCCAGAATTGTGAGACAATACATTTCTTTTAAGTAACTCAGTTTGGGGTACTTTGTTTATGGCAGCCCTAGGAAACTAATACACCCTTCTTAATTCACTAATTCAACGCATACTTACTGAACATCTGCCAGATACTAATTTAGGTGCTTGAGATACATTCGTGAGCGAAGATAAAGATCATGCCTTTGTGGACCAACATTCCAAGGGTGTGGGTGAAAGTGAAGAGAGGTAATAATAAAAGAAGATGATACCTTCTATAGAAAAAATAGTGTAGGATAAAGTGGATGGTGGGGTAGTTGCCAATTAGGGTGATTGTGGTTGGGCTTATAGCAACTCAAAGACAAATTAGGCAAGTGTGACATAATAAGAAATATATATTTGGTGTCTGCCCCTAGTTTCTGACACAGAGCTCCTAAAATCCTTGTCAATTCCTGCGTGATGGGGGTGTTAGGAGCATCTTACACAGAGCTTCTAAATCCCTTGGAATTTCCTGAGTAATAGGAGTGTCTTGTTCTAATGAGGCAACTCTTGGAGGGCTCCTGGATGATTTCTGGATGAGGTCTGGTCGCCAGAAAGTCTAAGTCATGATTAGAAACAGAACTTGGAAACTGATCAATAACTGATCATGCCTGTGTGATGAAGCCTCCATAAAAATCCCTAAAATACAGGGTTCACAGAGCTTCCAGGATGGCAAACATATTCAGGGGCTGGGAGAGTGCCATGCCAAGGAGAGGACGTGGGAGTTCCATGCTCCTTCCCCATACCTTGCCCTCTGCATCTCTCCCATTTGGCTGCTCCTGAGTTGTATCCTTTATAATAAACCAGGAATAAGTAAACTGTTTTCCGGAGTTCTGTGAGCCATTCTAGGAAATTAACAAACCTCAGGAGAGATTGTGAGAACCCCTGATTTATAGTGGGTTTGTCACAAGTGGGGAGGCCTGGACTTGGAATTGGCATCTCACAGAACCATTCACTTTAGACAAGTTGGTCCCTGTCCAACTCAAAACACCAAACATCATCCTCTCCTGCTAAATGAGTGACTTTACCAGTTTCAGCTTTATCCCTCCTTTAGTCTGTTTTCCCTATAGGTAAGATTTATTTAGATGATAGAATTGCCCTTGCTTTCTGAGAACACCCAATCCAAAAGGAACCCTCACTTCCTTAGACCCTCCGCAAAATTCCACAACTATAGCCCCAATCCTATAATAGGTTCTTTGTAACTCCCTCTTACTGAGACACCCCACAGGTCTCCCTCGCTGCAAGGGATTTTTTTTTTTTTTTTTTTTTTTGGCTGAAGGGCATTGTCAGGTTTAAGAGATGGGAGGAGAGGAATGTGACCTTAGGCGACTGTGGGGTAACTTACCCCAAAGAGGAACAGAGAAATACTGTAGAACGGTAGCCTGCAGGGAAACTAGGTCAAAGTTTTCGTTTTCTTTTAAGATAGAGAATTAACAGCATGTTTGTACGTTGAAGGGAAAAACCGAGAGAGACAAATGGGTCGTTTAGCAGGAGAAAAGCTAGTGGGTAACACGCCGAGTACAGGAACTAGTGCTTCAGGTAGGAGCAAGCGTCGTTCACCTGCAGGGTCGGGTGAGTGAGATCCTGGAACGTGCCTGGCTGTGGTGTGGACATTCTCTTCCTGATTACTTCAAAGTTCTCAGTGAAGAGGCGAAAAAGGCGGAAGTCCTGCCTCCCACAATATCTAATTGCCTATTCGAAATTTCACGTCTCAGTTCTTTTGTGCTTCTGTTTCAAAGAGCCTCCCCTCTACCGGAATATTAATTTCCCTAATACCTATCCAACTGTATGGTTAGATTCCAAATACAGTCCCACGAACAATGGGAAAAAACCTGATTGTGCCCTAGTTGTCTAGATCTCACAATAGAAGGAAACATTTCTCACTGTGTATTTCTCCACAAGACATTCCCCCACCTCCACCCCAGGACAAGCCCTATATTGAGAAGAAAAAAAGTAAAATAAACAAGAAAGGACTTTCTTCGAAGTCCTCCGACTCTCTAACTGCTTTTACATAGGATCGCTTGTTTTAGAAAAGCTGCCAATATTGAGGCTCATAATTTTGGTCCGATAGAATAAAACACTGCCCTCTATCAGCAATAATGCAGGTATGCACAGTAACACAGAAAATCAATTTCAACTTTAAACTGGGCTTTTCAGTTTCTTCTGTGCTTTACGGAGGAAGTAGGCGAGGGATCCGGGAGAGGAAGAAAAACTTGCGCTTTTAAGTGCGCAAGCGCAGTTTGAGAACTGTTTCGTTTGCAAACTAGTCTTTTTTCCGAAGATCTGGTTAATATTGACAGTACGTAAATTAATACGGTTTAAAAAACAAACAAAACCGTTCTTAATTACAGTGCTGTGGAGAGACCTCAAAATATTCAAGGGAAATTAAGTGCTATAACAAAAGATGTCCTGCGCCCAACGTGGGGCTCGAACCCACGACCCTGGGATTAAGAGTCCCATGCTCTACCGACTGAGCTAGCCGGGCACTTAGATGCCACCTTTCTTTTTTCTTCTCTTGAAGGATTCAATTACATTTGATTTTTGTTTTCCTATAATTCTTTATTTACATTAAAAAATTTGTCATACTATAACCTCCAAATTTGTTTCTTAAATTCTTTGAAACAGTTCTTTAATTGTATTTAGATTTAATATTTTTTAGTGCGTGTGTATCCCAAAGGCTCTGAAAACACGCGTTTCTCATTACAGAATCACTGAATCTCTTTTTCTGAAGTGTTTTAAAATATTTACTGCCCAATACGTTATTTTCTTTACATAAACGCGTATCAAGACTGTTCACTTTCTATCAAATGGCATAATGGATTCCTACAATTTTGGGCGCGGCATTAAAAAACAAAGTTTTTAATGAAGTTAGTTACACAC